ATTTGATTTGGGGGGTTTTTTAAGTGCTTTTTTTGTGTCCCCCACATTTCCATTACATTCAGCAAGGAATTTATAAGTGTGGAAGTCTTGGTCCAGTTCTGGTGGTGTGGTTGGGGTGATCTAAGGGCAGGGTGGTGTTTGCAGGAAGAAATAATTTCTCATAGTTCACAGGGAGTTCTGTGCTGGGAGTCTTGGGGAACAGGTTTGGTTCTACTTTTTGGCTGAATTGAACAATTTCTCTGTACAGAACCTTGTGTCAAAGCCCATGGAAGGGTCACACATGTGTAGTGCTGTTGTGAACTGCCCTCAGCTCTGTTCGTGTTCTGGAGCTGTGGGCTCAGCTGTGCCCTGGAATTGCAGAGATGTGGTGGTGTCTCAGCTAAGAGCATGGAGCTGGCACTGCTGTGCACTGGGTGGGACACCTGGGGACAGGGGATCCAGCAGATTTCACTGAGAAATCTGAGAGGGGCTGCCCAACATTTTTCTGCCATGGACAACTGCTAGGGCAGGGGTGGGACAGACATCAGTCTGGGGAATCTGGCTCCTGACTTGGTGCAATTTTGGTGAAATGCATCAAATCCAACATGGTCCAGCCCACCCTGAGTGTAGGTTTGGAAGTGGGGGGTGTTAGGGCTTGGGGTCTGAGATCTTTCCCTGCTGTCATTCCATGCACTAATCTGTGTGAGTCAGAACGTGTTCAGTTTTCTGGTTTTGTGGGAAGTACCCAGATCTCCCACCCCTCTAAAACAGATCCCACACATTTGTTGTATTCCTCTGCAGATGGCTGACAGACCTTTTTGCTGCTCATCATATGCCTGCCTGTCTGTCGTCAGATAGTTTTGCAAATAGTGCTTTTAGGGGGTTTATCCAACTCGGGAAACGCTGCTTTTGTGAGGGTATTTTCTGTTGTGTTTGCCTTAAAGCCTCGTTGAGCTGCTGCTCATTCTTCTGTGGGCTCCAGCTGATGATTTCTGGGATGAGAAGATGCAGTGTGGAGTGGCAGGGGGCAGTTCAGGGAAGGAGGTGGGAGAGCAGGGCTTTTCCTTCCCTCCCTGCTGCAGCTGAAGCTCTGGAGCTGCAGGTAGAGGGCTGGCTGAGCACAAACCCTGTGCAGTGGTGTAGGTGGGAGAGCAGGGCTTTTCCTTCCTTCCCTCTGGAGCTGCAGGTAGAGGGCTGGCTGAGCACAAACCCTGTGCAGTGGTGTCACAGTCTGTGAGAACCAGCTCCTGTCCTTCAGGAGCTCCTGGGCTCTGAAGCTTGGACGTGGCAAGTTGTTGGAGCTTTCTGGCTGTTGCTAATGATTTTAGTAGAAACAATCAGATGATGTTTAATCCCAAAATGAAAAGGCTGACAGTACAGCAGTGCAGCTGTCAAAGCTCCAGCTGTGGATATGACTTTGGGGTCCTTGGCACGTAGAAGTGTGTGAAACCTCACATGGGTAGAGCTTCCTGTTCCTCAGAGCTTGGTAAGGGCTCAGTATTTTTGTTTCTGTAATCGTGTTTAAAAATAAGCTCGTGCTCACTGTGCTGTTTGATGGGCATGGATTGGTGGCTGAGCTCCCTTGCTGCCCTCTCCTGTGTCCCATGGCTGCCCCTGGTGCTGGCTGAGCACCAGAGCTCTTGTGGTGATCCCAGTGCAGCCAGGATGAACCCCAGGGATACAACTGTATTTGTAAAAAAAAAAAAACAAAAAAAACTTTAATAATTAAATAATTCTTAAGACTTTGGGTTGTTGGAAAAGCCAAGATAATTTTCAGTGATTAATGTCCCAGTAGCATTTCCAAGGACCCTAAATTAGATATTTGTGTTTAGCCCTTTCTTGCCTTTGCTGAGGATAGGTGAGAATGGCCAGAGGTACCTGTTCTTCCCAGTGAATTTCATCCATTGGGAGCATATTTGCTGGGTACAGATACCTAACAATTGTTTTGATTCCAATTTTTCTCCTCCCTTTGGCCTCAGAGACACAAGTTGCAGATGCTTCCCCTTATGCCTGCAGCTGTGAAATAATGCTCATTAAGGCCCACAGCAGAAAGTATTCCCTGTGGTTTAAGTGACCTCCCTTCAGCTCCTGGGACAGCCTTTCCAGATCAGCTGGGATGTTTGGTAAATAATATATTAAAAGTTTTTCTTCTGTATATACTCCTCATTAATTGTAAGTGCTGATATTATTGTATGTGTTTAGTCAACCTCTCTGAAATCAGGACAGTTAAGAGCTGATGTGGAAGGAAAGTCTCATATTGGAGGGTTTGCAAGAACACAGTTTTGCTTTTGGTGTATTGATAAACCCCTTAGCAAAGAGTGAGAAAGTTCAGTAGCAGCAGGCTACACAGGGCTGTGTAACTGAGGGTCTGCAGTAATTGTGGAAGGGTCTGTGCAGGTGAGTGGCTGCCAATAAAATGAAAAATTACATTTAGCTTAGAGAAATACTAAATTATAAGCATGGAAAAGTACTAACTTCAGGGCCCACCATGTTTATATCTTGGAGATCTATATACATTTTTAAATTTCTGGAGAGGGGCAGCACAGATGGCCACCAGGCAAAAGTGAGATCTTGGCTTTGCAAAACTTCAAAGTTCCAAAACAGCTCAGATGCTGTTTGTGGGACAGTGCTGCTGACTTAGTGCCCCTCCCTGAGTATTACAAGTAATGAAACTTAATTTTATGGGAAATTAGCATCTCATGGTTGACTTTTTTTTTAACTTGTCAGTACTAAGACTGAGGAGAGTGATAGTGCCACAGAATCCATACAAGAGAGAAACTTTGAAGAATGAATATTCAATGAGATATGAGCTGAAACAGAAAATATTCCCACAGCTCAGGCATTCCTAATGTCTCTCCAGTGTAGGTTGCCTGGCATTTACTGGGAGTAGAACTTGCTCTGTTCTTCCTGGCAGTGAGAGCATGTGAAGTGTTTTGTCTTGTCAGTCCGTCTGGTTTTTCCCTCAAAGCCTCCAGAAATTTAAATTTTCCTGTATCCTCTTTTAGCATTTGTACTTATTCAGGAGTTTCAGCCAAATTTATTTTGGGAGAAATAAAACACACTGTTGGTGTTGCCTTTTTAAAAAATCTATTTAAAAGTTAAGGTGGTATCTTGTTATTTGGTGCTGTCTCTGAAGTATTTTAGTTCTGTAAAGCATCATAACTCAGCCTTATTGTCCTAAGGAGCCAAGAGAGGCTGAGGAGTGCACCCAGCTGCTTTGTGCCATTAATTGGGAATTAATTAATGCTGGTGGCTTTTGGCCCTGGGAGCACTGTAGTTGCAAGGCTCTGGTGTCTGCACTGGCCAGGGCACAGCTTGTGCTGGTGCTGTGGACTCAGGACCCAGGGGGCTGGACCATTGCTGGTGGACAGAACTTCAAGGAGCTGGTGGGATTTAAAGTTCTGGTTTTGTTCTCCTCAGGGAACTTTCCTCCTGAAATCAAGTTCCATCTTAGGACCACAATGACCACCTCTGCCTGTGTTGTTTATATTGTGACATTTCAAGGGAATTTGGGAAAAAAACCCAATAAATCCCCCTGCAGGTTGGACTGTGTGACTTCATGTTCCATCTGTTGGCTTTAAACCTTCCCAGCTTGATGTGATGAGTGTTTTGTCTTCTCCTGGTGGGGTCCTGTCACACTGCCACACAGGGCAGGGCTCATTCTGTGCCACTGTGTGTGCCACCTGCCAGCATGCTGAACAACTGGATTCCTCTGCATTTATTAAAAATTACTGTGTAATAGCAACCTGAGCACTGACTCATGTGATTTGCTGCTCAAAACCCAGTTTACATCCAGCCACACCAACTGAATGATAGCTCAGGTGGAGGGCTGGGAGCAGCCCCTTCCCAAAGAGGGATCAGGGAATGCTGAGCAATGAGAGAAAACATCTTTGATATTTTGAGGGTTTTATCCCAGTCTGATTTGATACATGCTCTTTGCTTCCTCTTCCCAAGTTGTTTAATTTCATTCACTTGTTGCAGCAGATTGTTTTCACTTTGGAAGATCTGGGTGGGAATTCCCTGATGGCTGTAACTCATCCAGCAGAGGCTCCTTATGAGTGAAAGGTCTGATCAAAGCTGGGAATGTGTTGCTGGGAGGGGAGGGGAGCCTGTTGCTGGGGATGACTATAGATACTCTGCAGTTTAATTTAGGAGATGGAATATCTTTCTGGCCTAGAGCTGCCTGGAAATAGCAAAGCAATACTGTCACTTTCTGGATATAGGAACTAGTTGGATTGTTTCTATACAAAATTTAGTTTCACTTGTTCTTTCATATTTTATCCTTAGGTAATATTTGGGTTGTTCTTAAGTAAAACCAAAGTCATTCTTCCAGGTTTTTACAGTTTTGGGGATCTGCAGACAAAACTTTTCAGACTGTCAGTGCTGGGGGCCTGAAACTTTCTGGGTTGTCATGGGGTGTGGATTCCTTTAGTAGCTGATTTTTATTAGTTTTTTATTCTAAACACTAAAATATTGAAAAAATTATTTATTCTGATGGTTTCACTAAATGCTAAATGAAAAATAACACAAAGTCTACTGTGTCTTCTTCCCTTTAGGGGTGGATATTTCATGATTTTTACATTCCTTTCAGAGTGTTTCCTTTCTCTACTCTGTTCCCATTTGCTTTTACTAATTCCATTAAAATCTTTGCAGTAAGTTATCATGGGAGTTTATTATTTCACTTTTGGAAATTGATAGAAATCTTGTGTGTTCTGTAAGTTTCTGTGGACAAAGCTGAAGGGGAGAAGGCAATCAGTAGTTTTGTAGTTGAGAATGTTTCTAAAGGCTGCAGCACACAACACATTGTGGTGTAATGGTTTTCTTCTAATTTTATCCAATGTTTTAAAACCAGGTTGGCAGCTGTGAGAATTTGTACAGGCAGTTGTTTGGATGGGATGTTTTCTTGTGAATAACTCAACTTTTTGAGTAACTTTTTTTGATGGTACAAAAAAATTCATCCAATAATGTCCAGGAAACCTGCCTTAAGTCCATTGTAATCCTCCTCTTCCTTTTTCTCATAGGAAATTTGCTACAAGATCCTATTGCTCCTACCAACTCCAATTGTCAGCATTATGTCTGCAAAACGTGTAAAGGCAAGAAGATGATGATGAAGCCCTCGTGTAGCTGGTGCAAGGACTACGAGCAGTTTGAGGAGAACAAGCAGCTGAGCATCCTGGTGAACTGCTACAAGAAGCTGTGCGAGTACATCACGCAGACGCCGCTGGCCCGGGACATCATCCAGGCCGTGGATTGCTCTGCAGACCTGCTGGCTCTGCTCAAGGATGGGGCACCGCTCCACGAGGAGGCGGAGAAGTCCTCAGACGCAGCCCTGGCTCTGTGTCTGACGCATTCCCCGGTCCCTTCCACCTCGGAGCTGGCGACGGACACGCCCGGGGGGTTCACGGCGCTGCCCGAGAGCACGCCCAGCCTGGACCTGCGGGGCTCTGTCATCAACGGGCTGCCCCCCTGCAACGGGCTGTCGGTGGAGAAGCTGGGCGTGAGCATCCCCTCCCCCGAGCACGCCGCCGCCATCGATGTGTGCAGCACCGGGGATTACATCAAAACAGAGGACATCCCCGGCGGCCTGCAGCCCGTGTGTGACACCGTGGCCACCAGCGACCTGTGCCCCGCGGGCATCGACATCTGTGGCTTCAGTGAGGACATCAAGCCGGGCGGGTCGCTGCTGCTCAGCGTGGAGGAGGTGCTGCGCAGCCTGGAGACCGTGTCCAGCAGCGAGGTGTGCGACTCCAACCTGCAGCCCGGCCTGGAGGCAAACATGGCCAATGGCCCCTTCCTGCAGCTCTCCCCCCCTCCCCTCAGCCATAACATTTTCATGTCCACAGATGCTTCTCCTCATGGGCTCTCCTGCACGGCAGCCACGCCCAAGGTGGTGAAGCTGAACAGGAAGCGCTCTCGCTCCGAAAGCGACAGCGAGAAGGTTCAGCCTCTGCCCATCTCCAGCATCATCTGCGGCCCAACGCTGGGAGCGTCGGCTCCCGTCACAGTCAAACAGGAAAATAAAATGTCCTTGCAGCCTATTGCGACTGTACCTAATGGAGGAACTACTCCCAAAATCAGTAAAACTGTGCTCCTGTCTAACAAAAGCGTGAAAAAGAACTTAGAACACGCCCCTAAGAAATCCCACCCAAAAGCCAAACCAGGGGTGCTGAAAACAAAAGACAAGGCAAAGGAGAAAGTTCCCAGCAGTAACGTTATGCCAGGAAGCCCAACAAAAACTGTGTATAAAAAGCCACAAGAAAAGAAAGGGTGTAAATGTGGTCGTGCCACCCAAAATCCAAGTGTTCTTACATGCCGTGGCCAACGCTGCCCTTGCTACTCTAACCGCAAAGCCTGCCTTGACTGCATATGCCGTGGCTGCCAAAACTCCTACATGGCTAACGGGGAGAAGAAGCTGGAGGCCTTTGCAGTGCCAGAAAAGGCCTTGGAGCAGACTCGGCTTACTTTGGGCATTAATGTGACAAGCATTGCCGTGCGCAATGCCAGCACAAGCACCAGTGTAATCAATGTGACAGGGTCACCAGTAACGACGTTTATAGCTGCCAGTACACATGATGAGAAAAGTTTGGATGAAGCTATAGACATGAGATATGACTGTTGAACCTTTCTTTCTTTTCCCTGCCATCCGTAGGGGAACTGCTACAGGTTTAAGGCAGCTATGGTTCTGTTTAACTTGCTGGAGCTCCTGCGTTTAGATCACTTGTATCAAGTGTTTTTCATTGCTATGTTCTGTGTATTAGTGTCTGGGAAATAGTTGCAGATAATGGAGGAGTTACCCTAAAACTGTTTTTAGTTCTTACAGCACCTCATAGTTTGAGATGGATTGCTGATGTAAATGATTTTATCACAAGATCTTTTGACAAGGAATATATTGACCTCATTGTACTTGCTCATGCTTTGTGCTCAGTCAAAGCTTCAGCTTCAGTGTAGCATCCAGATAGTGCATCTCAACTGTGCTAGATGATGGCGTAGAGAAATAATTATTTGATGGGTTATAGTCAACATGAGCAGGAAATGACCTGACATTCCTGTGGGAAAGGCAGCACAAGCTGGGGGATACACTCCAGAAAGGGTAGGTAGTGGTGATTGTGAGAATTGGTTGTGCCCTCTACTGAACAGCATACAGTTAAAAAAGATTAATAAATGCACTGAGCTGGCAGGCCAAAAGGCATCTCAGATGGCTGCAGGCAAGGCTCAGGAGGGTCGGGTGGATGCAAAGGTCGAGCTCCAGCTTGGATATCCCGTCCTGGTAATGACATCATCATCCGTGGGCTTTGTCTTCCTAACACTTCACAGGTCATGTCCCTGCTCAGTTGCCCCTCTGAGCCAGCCCCCTGTGCATGACAAGTCACTGAGGGGCTGGGCTGGGGGAGAACATCACTGGTACCCCACGAAGGTTCAAGTTCTATTAGCACCATCCTCTCCCTTTCCCGAGTTCCTGATGTTTTTACTGCTGTTGCTTCTAGGGAAGAGAAGGGGTTTTGTGGGTTACAGGAAGTCCTTGGCTGATTTTCCCCCCTCTGGTGCTGATCAGTGCCAGGGCTACAGGGAGATGCTGCAGCACTTATCACCACTGGGGGGTTGTTTGATCAGGTTTGTAACAGAGCCGGGACCCCTCCCACGGAGGGGAGTTCCCTGCTGCCAGGTACCTCCCAGCCAGGGCACAGGATCCAGGGCTATCAAAGGTCAAATTTTTGGGGTGTTTGCTAAACACAATAAGCTAGCTATAACTCACTCCACCCTGAACCTATCTCACTTTTGCTAAAATGTTGAAAATAGCTTTTGAAGGTCATTGCTTTTCAGCCTGGGCCAAAAGGCTCGAAAATAGAAAAATAACACAAAGTTGTCGAGCTTATCTGGAAAAGTGTTACAGTGAAAGAGTTCCTCTCAGGAATTCAGCTTTGTGCAAAAATGGTTGATTTCAGCGCAATCCCTAAATAAGAGTGCAGGCACAAGATTTAGTTGTGCCTTCAGGGCTTCATTGGAAGCCTAAAATGTTGAGATTGCTTTGTGAAAGTAGAAATTCTCCTCTTGGAATGACAGAGCACAACCCGAGCATGGGCTGACTCGAACACAAACATTACTGTCTGATTTTAAAGGCCATTCCTGTTTCAGCAGCATGTTAAATAGTGTGTGGATTTTTTAGTTCCTGTCCTGCTTCCATCTTCCCTCTTCCCCAGGCACAGCCCCTGCGGTGCTTTCCGGCCCGGCGCTGGGTGTGCTTTGATTTGGCACAAAGCACGTACAATGACGGTTCCTCACCGAGAAATGAGCAAAAACCCTTTGGACACAAATGGCACCTCCTTTTGTTTTGTAGTGTACCATGGTGTCATTTTCTGTGAATGTGGTCAGAGCTTTTTGTTGGTTTTGGTTTGTTTCTCCCCCCGTCTTTTTTGTGGGGTGGGCAGGGTGGGGGGTTAAAGCCATAGGAAGAAAAATGTGATGTACGTGTCCAGTCTGTACTTTTTTGTTTTTGTTTTGCAAGAAGAGTTGAAAAATATTTTTGATAATGAGTAAATGGTGGAAAATGCTTCTTAGTATTCTTGTCTTTATTTGCCAACCCAAGTACCTAAGATCTGTGTTTTTTAGCCCTCATGAGATTTAACGATGTCCTATTAAAATGTATTTAGTTAAACTTGTATGTGATTTTTGTGTTGACCCAGAGGGATCCTACCAGTCTCTAATTTGGTGGTTTGATCGTGACCTACTAATGTAAATCTGTTTATTAGTCCACTGCGTGTAAGCGAAGCAGCGACCCGGAGGCTGGGAGTGGCTGCGCAGCACGGGTTGTGTCGGAATGCTTTTGCAGAGCTGTTCAGTTTTGCCGAGATTGTTGATGGTACATTTTTAGGACTTTCATTAAATTAAATACAAAGTACCTTTGCTCCAGAAATGCGGGAGTATTTGGAATCTTTACTATCTCACTGCTGCATTCAATGTGGTACCAAAAGTTGGAGAACTTAGGTCAAGAGTGTTTCGGAGCGTCGACAGGAGAGCCCTGATGGTTAATGTAAAACTGCAAATGGTAGATTCAGGTTGTTTCTAAAAAACATTTCCTTTTATGCTGCCACATTCTTGAAATGTATATTAAAATTCAAATTGATTTAATAAATGTTAGTTTTCTAATTCTATTTGGCAATTGCTGAAGGCATCAGTGTGGCATATGTTGAACTCAGTGTCTAAATACTACTTAGTGTGTTGATGATTAATTCTCTAATTGTTTAAATTAGGGTTGGCTTGGTTTGGTTTCCTTACCCTCCTGGCTAGTTGTTTGTGAGCTGAGCAATGGAAAGGATCGTCTTGGTGCTGACAGGAATTCCAGCAGCTCCAGTTGGGAAAGCATTCCTTCCACAGCAGCTTCCTGCTTTGGGGCCTTCCTGCCTTGGCTTGGGCAGAGAGCAGGGTGAGGGCACAGTCCAGCACAGCCCAGGAGGGACTTGTCCCTGCTGCCCATCCCCAGGAGCTGGAGTCACTGGTGGGTGCAGCTCAGTGATTATTTGAGCTCCAGCCTGGCCCCAGCTGGGCTGCCCGGAATTCCCGGTGTTCCTCCTGCAGTTCTCTGGATCCGGGAGCTGCTCTCAGCATTGGCACAGAGGGAGCTGCTTGGGGATTTCTTACAGAGGAAGTGTGTGATATTCCAGTTTTCTTCCCAATCCCCCTGAAGGCAGGGATTAACTGCCAAACTTAATCAAAACCCTGTAATTTGTAGAGCAGAATCAAAAAGCAGTTTTTGGTCATGTGTAGTGGTACAAAATGCAGTGCTTCTGACCATTCAGATCTGAACATAGTTGTGAACAAGGAAGAGAAGCCCTCTACACTTCCCTGTGGAGTGGAAAGGCTTTTCCCAGGTATCACACATTAGGACATGTTAAAAAACGTTCAGACACACAAGGCAATGTGGCTGTTGGTGATGGGGCGTAGAGGGCAGGGTGGAGCTCTCAAAGGTTAGATTTGGTGATCATGGGGCGTCTTTTCCAACCTTAACAATCCTAGGACAAACCAGAGGCTGGGATTAAATCCCAGAGGGGGGACAGGGAGACAAAACATTACCTGCTGGATGTGTTACCTTTGGTTCTCCTTCCCTGGCTTGTCTGCCCACAGTGCAGAGCCAGAGGCACTGGGCACAGCAGCCTCTCCCTGCAGATGTTCTTCCCTTGCATGGGAGCTGAAAACATTCCCAGGGAACAGCTGCCCTCGGTGCCTTCAGCACAGCCCAGGGCTGCCCCTGCCAGCCCCAGCATTTGATGGTGTCAGAAGAACCTGCAGAGTTACAGAGAAAGGAACCCAAAAAGCCAGTTTGCCAAGGCAGCTGCTTCTGGCACAGCAGGGAGCTGCTCCCTCAGTGAAACTCCAGAGCTTCAAGGAACAGATCCCACAGCTGTGGCACAGGGATGGTGCAGAGGTTGTGGTGTGACCCAGCACAGAAGCATCTTTTTACTGCATGCAAGAAGCACCACCTCCCCAGATAATTCTTACTTAAATTCCACGCAAACCAGAAAAGGATTTTTGATTGCTAAGCTGGAGAACTGAAAGGACAGAAACAAGCACCTTTGTAAGGATCATTCCAAGTGTGTGGCACAACTGAGGAAATCCCCTCTGAAAGGTAGGTGATGCTGCTTCCAGTACTACCAAGAACAGCAGAGGCAGCTCTTTGGCCTTAACTATTTAAATTTAGGAATTGAAGTGCTTTTGATACCCAAAAGAAACTCACCAGAAGGTGGCTGTTCTATAGACACATTTAGGCACCCCTTGGTGAAGCAATACAAGAGCACCACACTGCACAAACTCTGCTTGAGCATTTGCATAAAGGTAAATTAGAAAAGGCATTATTAGATTTTTCCCTTTATTTTTATTTCTTTTTCTCTTTTTTTTTTTCCTTGTTCCACTTGCAATTTTGTCTTTTTTTTTAGGACGGGTTAAAATGAGGGAGTTGGATGTTTTGGTAAGTCACACATGACAGTTCTTCACATTGAGGACACAGATTTGAGTGAGGTAAGTGGCCAGTCAGATTGCTTTCTCCCAGGATTTTTGAGAAGAAAGCCTGGAATTTTGGCTTTGGAAGGCATTTGCTTGCAGGTACCTGGGTGGTGTGAACTCACCACAGCAGGGAAGGAGAGTTTGGCACAGCAGCTGGAGATGAAGTGAGCAGTAACACTCTACCCCACCACCAAGACAGATTTTCCTTTTTAAATTCAAAAGTCCTTTATTTGCCAAAAAAGAAGAAAATATAAAGTAAAAATACAAAGATCAAACCATGCCACCACAAAATGTCTCCAAAACTACTTTTACAAAGTATGAGAACCTTTATTATCATTATTAAATATTCAGTTTCTAACCCCCTCACCCAGTGATACAGTGAGAAGATGAGCACACAAGGGGAAGCTCTGTTTATTTTTTCTTACAGTAGCTCGTGCTCGTCACTGAGGTTCAGTTTTGTTTGCATAGACCTAAGATACTGATCTAGGGACTCCAAATCCATACGGTTACAGTGAAGTTCAGTGAACTTAGCGTTGGTCTTTCAGGACTATTTTGTTTTTGAAACTAAGCCCAGTACCTTGGTTAGAGTGTCTTGAGTCAGCTTTGTTAAATCCTCGGTTCAGGAGGGCAGGAAGGCTTTGGAATCCCTCTCTTGCTGCCCATGTCTGTTCTGCAGCACTTGCCCTCAGAGGCAGGAGGGGAGCTGGAGCACTGCCCAGGGTTCACTGCCAAAAACTGGGATGCAGCAAGTACTACTGAGAAAAAAATCCAACTAGTACCATTCCAGCAGTAATACTGAGCCACAGCTCCCATCTTAGTACTGCAGAGAGAAAATATTTATGATACAAGACAATCACAGTTGTATTACTGTTTGTGATACAACAGTAAAAAGCAAGGGGTTTGTAAGAACACAGGGCTTCATTTTGCTAGACAAAAGCAGACTAGAGAGAACAAATAAGCACAGTCATATTTTTATCATGCAAAATTGTGTTTTACTCACTTTTCTGACTACTCGTAAGGAAAAAGCCTTCATGTGAGCTGGATGTGCACTGAACAATGCAGGATGTGTCCTTCCTGGGATGCAGCATCTGAAGTGGCACTGACATGGAGTCAGGAGGCAGAGCCAGAGCCAAGGGACTCCTGCAAATCTTTTGGGCAGGGATTCTGGGGCTGCTTCTCTGCAGCTGAGCAGCTCTGCTGGCTGGACACAAGCACCCCTGACTATCCCAGAAAAAAGCAAAGTAGGACAGGAATTCCCAAATTTACCTCAGTTAAATCCTGCAGAGTTACAAACCTCCCATCCAGAGCAGCTGGGGACAGGGCTGTCACAAGTGGGGTGTAGAACACATCCTCTATTAATGCACATGTGCCTGCTGAATTGTGGTTATTTCAAGTACTTTAGGGACAGAGAATGGATTTCCATTCCTGGAATATTACTGCAGATTTTGCACTGCCACCACAGTAACAGTGGCTTCTGCAGCTTGTCCTTCAATTCACATAGAATGCAAAATATTTGCTGTAAATTGGGGGGGTTTTGGATTAGCTTGGCTTGTGTTGACCCACCAGAAAGCATGGATTGGGTCTGGATTCACTCTGTGTTGTTGTAGCAGTACTGGATGTCTGTTTGTAGGAGAGAGGGGCTGGCTCTGGGCTCAGCAGAGCAGCTATCAGCTTCCTGTCTCTATTTATTGAAGCAAACCTTGGGAAGGCAGCTGGTGAGTTTCACCAGACTCTGGGTTCTGACTTCTGCAAAGAAAGGCACCAGTTCAGGCTGGCATGGTGTGAGGTGGGAGCCTGAATTCAGGGGTGGGTTGAATTAAAGGCCCTCTGCAAAAGGCCCTGAAGAAAGACCCTGAAGTGCTGGGTGACTGAGGCCTTCCAGAACTGGCAAACGAGGCATTGCAGTACTGCTGCTGCTGGAGGGTTCCATTTCAGCTTAGAATGGGGTCAGGTGCTTCTTGTTCCTTTTGAGCAATCTTAGTCTTTGGAGAGATGTAAAGGGACATCAAACTGAAAGGCCCCTCTGGACCATGGCAGTGAGGGAAGGGTGAATTCCTGCTGTGCCCAGGTTCTTCTCAGGAAAACGAGCTGGTTCCAAGCAGCAGCTGTGGCACCTCCATCCTGTGTCCATTCCTGCAGTCAGTTCCTTGGTGGTTCTGCTTCTGGGCATTTGTGGAATCACCCCCAGGGAAGGTTTTCTCTTCGAGGTTGTGGCAGTGATGGAAATGAGATCCAGACATGCTGTGTGCTCACTGCATTCCAGGGGCTTGTCCTGGTTTGGGCAGGGTGCTCCCAGCTTCACCTGTTACTATGGGATGCAGGTCACCTTTGCTAACAATGTGGGCATCCAGAAGTTTCCCAAATACCAAGTCCAGGATCCTGGGGGGTGTGTATGCATCTGCTCAGTTCAGCTGAAACCTTTCTCTCTTCCCAAATTTGACTGTGGGAGAGCTGTGAGCCCAGGGAGGCAGCAGCACATCCCCCTGGCAGGCAGGCAGGCCTTGGGCTTCAGAGGCTCCTGGAAAAGCCTAGCCTGCACTGGAGTGATCAGCCTG